ATCTTTCGCAGCCTCCAACGATGGATTGTGCTGGGTGGACATAGACTTCGACGCGTTCCTGTTTCGATTGGCTTCAGTGTACATGCCCGACTCCACGTATCCAGAAGAGGACGTGGAAACCATGTATTCGCAGCTATCTATCATAAGACGCAAAGCGAAGCTTCAGAATCGGATTTTTGTTGTTGGCGGGAATTGGAATGCAGTCTTGGGGAACGGCGGCGATTCGTGCGAAAACAGATTCGTCGGCCACCGGGGGATGGGTCACGGGAACGACCGAGGAGACACTCTGGAGGCATGACTTTCCGAGGAAGCGCTATCAGCTGCAAATGCTTACTTCGCTATGCCGGAGAGTGACGAGTGGACCCGCACCCATTGCGGCAACAAGCGGCAGATTGACTTTTCTGCGTGCGCCCACGCGCAAAGGGTCTCATGCGTTTTTCTGGCGCGGTAAATTCCGCAGGCGTTGGTCTGGATCACCAAGCAGTTGCCCGGGGTCTGAAGATGCCGACTTGCCGGCGGCTGCGGGAGAGAAAACAGCGCAAAGCAACGCATCGTTTTCAGCCGCAGAGCGGGTCCGGTGCGAAAGTCGATGCGAATTTGTGCTGTCGCATCAAAGGTTTGGAAGAATCTGGAGCAGCGCCGTCAGCTACGATGATGTGCGAGAGTTTGGCAGATTGTCTGGCGCAAGCAGCTCAGGGCGGAGGTGCGGCGAAGAAAGAACCGCGCCAGGCAATCCCGCCTCACATTTTGCAATTGACGTCTGAAAGACGGTCTTCCCGGGCCGGAGAGGCAGGGCGAAGGCCGGCAAAAGTTATCAGCAAAGAGATACAACGTGAACTAAGAAAATGGGAACGAGAGCGAAAGGCAGAACGCGTTGATGTAATTTTGCAGAATTTCAAGAGCATCGGCCGCGTCCACGATATCCACAATATCAAGAAGCAGCGGCTGACCAGCGTCGTCGACTACTCGGGGAACCCGTGCTCGGACAGTTTTTGGCGCGTTCTACGAGGAGCTCTACAAGTCAAGGGGGGCCAGCAGCGGCCTTGAACGAGACGCCAGCTGCGCTGGAGTGACAGCTGATGTACCGTCAGTTACAGCTGTTGAGGAAATAGAGGAGCACGTCAGACACTTGAGAAAAGGCAGAGCTGCAGATCGGACTGGCGTGATGGCTGAAATTTTCAAAACTGGCGGGCCGTGTCTCAAAGAAGTGTTAGCGAACATTTTCACGAGTATTCTTGTGCGCGGAGATGAGCCGCCAGGGTCGTGGCGACACACCTGCGTCAAGGTGATCTTCAAGAAAGGGGATCCTGAACTTCCTGGAAATTACCATCCAATTTCCATTCTTCCCATATGGTGCAAGCTCTTCGCCATGGTGCTGAACGGGCGACTCGCGAAACTTCTCGACGCAAAGCAGTCTGTGGACCAAGCTGGGTTTCGTAAGGGCTGCGGGTGCGATGATCATTTGGTAACCCTTACGCTCATCCACGAGAAGGCCAGGTAGTGCAATTTGAAGCTTTGGGTCGCTGCCGTTGACTTCGAAAAAGCATTCGACACCGTGAACCATTCTGCTATCTGGCGTTCTCTGCGCCAGCAAGGGGTTCCGGAGACATACGTGCAAGTGTTGCGCCGGCTGCGTGCAGGACAAACAGGCCAGGTGGTATCTGATGGGCAGAGCCGCGTGTTCAAGCTTGAGAGAGGCACGAAGCGGGGTGGCCCAATGTCACCAGCTATATTCAACGCAGTTCTGGAGATCATGCGGGACCTCGTGGCGGCAAGGGAGGCTTGGACTCAAACTTGGTTTACATTATTTGACCACCTTGAGGTTCGCAGACGGCGTTCTCTTGCTTGGAACCAGCAGGGCGCAGGTGCGACGAATGTTGTCCGACTTGAACGAGAGGGCGCGCAGTGCCGGTTTGCAGCTGCACCTGGGCAAGTCGAAGATCCTGTCTAACGAGGCAGACCGCCGGGGAGTGTTGCGACAGAAAGACGTTGAAGTCGGAGACGGGCGGGTCGAAGTCTTAGAGTTCAACGACAGCGTGAAGTACCTAGGAAGGGAACTAACTTTCAGTGAGTACCACGATGTGGAAATCAACCACAGGATCTCGAGAGGGTGGGCTGCCTTCGGAAAGTTCAAATCCGAATTGTGTAATCGGCATTATCTCTCACATTCCAGATTGAGGCTATTCGACGCTGTCGTGTCTTCTACGGTACTGTATGGGAGTGGTGCCTGGGCGCTCACTGCAGCGCGAAAGCAAAAGCTCAGCGGAACAATGCGGAAGATGCTTCGGACAATTGTGGGCGCGCGGCGACTGGAATATGAGTCGCATGTTGATTGGATTGTGAGAGCTACTCAACGGGCAGAGGAGGCATACTCGACATCCGGAGTACCCACGTGGCTGCACTCGCAGAGCGAGAGGAAAGCCAACTTATATCGTAAGCTACAGTCATGCAGTGACCGCAGATGGGGGCAGGTTGCGTTGCGATGGTTCCCTTCCGGTTGCAGATCTATTGAGAGGCCGTTAAAACTATGGACTGACTAGATATTGTCCGCTATTTCTTGTCTGGCGCGTGCGAGAATCGTCGAGAAACCTGGGTGTGGGGACTTTCAAGAAAGAATGGGGCGTGAGAGAATCATCCAGGAAGTGGGAACCGCGCGCGCAGCAGCCCGCGCAGGGCGCGCTCCGGCGCATGCTGCCTCTGACCTCTGACCCCTGACCTCTGACCATCGAACGAGAGCGTGCTCCTGGTGGGCGTGGGTGGGGCAGGGCGCCCTGCGAAGGCCCGGCGACGGGCAGTCCGACAGATCCTGTACCATGCCTACACCTGCTGATATTGCTGCGCTTGCGCCAGGGGATCGGTCAATATTGGTGGATATACTCCAGCGGAACGATCCCTGGTGGCAGCGCGCGATTTATGCCAGTGGAGCTCGGGACCTCGAGCATTGCAGCGACGTTTGCTGCGCCGCCGTTCGGCGCGACGACATCAGAACCACCGGGTATCTCAGTCGCTGACATAGCTCCTAGAATCGAGGATATACGATGACAGCCCGAACTGGCGGCGGCGCTGAGACAGACCATGGACCTTAACTCGCCGCGCCCATCGGGGGTCCATCGATCTATGCAGGCGCGGTGCCGTGACCGTTCGCCTACGCGTGGCGGGAATTATCTGGGCCAGCCGCCGCTGCGGGGCAGTGGCAGGGGATGCGGTGGCGGCGACGGGTGTCGACGTGGTGGTGGCGATGCGCGGTGGCGTGCTATTGGCACTCAGCGACAATTCACTGAATGGCGATGGCGGCGCGTCACCGAGGAGCTGCAGGCGTTGGAACTCATAGCCCATGGCACAAATGCGCGGAAGCTCCCGTGGGCGTGGGCACCCGGGGGGAGCCCTTCGCTGGGCGCGCCCGATCGCGGCCGCTTTCGGCCGGCCCATGCTGCGTATCCAAGGCATTCCACCCTGCAGGGGCCGCCGCCGACGCCCGCGGGCGCGCCCGCGTTGCCGGAGTGCCGCCGCGTGGTGGAGGGCCGCGCCAGGCAGGGCGCGATCGTGAACAACTCCTACGCGAGGAACCCCGCGGACAAGTTTCATCGATTGGGGCGGGCGCGCGCCCCGGATCCAGGCAGGGCGCCGCGCGTGGCGTTCCAGCCCGCGTCGACCGACGGCGACGTCCTGATCCGAGGGCCCAGGCTTCGCATCGACCGCGCCAGCCTATCGCGACACCCTCATCATGTCATCGGCGCCAGACTTTCTACCGAAAGCGACCGTGCTGGAGGGGCAGAGGCGACCGCGCCCAACGGCTATGGCACCGCTCATCGGCGACGTCAATTTTCTGACCTGCGCGAGATGCTTCAAACTGCACGGGGAGCGAATGCAGGCCGTAACAGTTCCAGGAGTCGACTGTTGTCTCTTGTTCCCGTGTGCTACCGCCCCCGCCCTGCGCGAATTACCTCTGCTTGGGGCACGTCGGGGGGGCGGGGGAGTAGCAATCAGTCCGTGCAGTCTTGATTGTCATTGTGCTCGTCGCATCTTTGGCTCGAGCGACGAGGATTCGGGAATTTGCTGTGTGCAGGTTCGTCTTCCTCGCATGCGGGGTGCACGGCGTGGTTCGGCGGTGGGCCCGCGGGTGTCGGGGGCCTCCCGGGAGGTGGCGCGTTGGGCCCGCGAGAAGCTGGCGGCGCTGAGAGTGCTTCGCTCCAAGCCGCGATGGCGCGCAGTGGGCCCGATGGTTCGCTCGCCGCTGTAGCCGGCGCCGTGTCTCAGCGCAGCGCGCGGCGGCTCCGCCTGGCGCCCCTGCGCGTGGTGAGGGCCGGGGGAACCGACGGGCGTCGGATCTCGGCGTTGCTCGGCCACGTCGCCGCTCGCGGGCCCATCCGCCGAGAGGTGCTTTCAGCGCCGCAGGCCAGCTTCGCTTCTGCTCGGCAGTTCAGTCAGGGGCGAGGCGCCCTGTGGCCTTCGCGCGCCGAGAACTTCGTCGCGTGGCCGCCCTTGCGTTCGCTGTTGCTCGGGGGCTGGGCGCCGGGTGGCGTTCAGAAGTGCGTGTCTTGGATGCTTCTGTCTGGGGGTGCGGGGCGATGGGCAAGGCGACCGACTCGACCGCCGATCTCGAAATCCGACAGGCGAGATCAATTTCACGATCGTCGGGGCGATCTACATCGGGGTGGCCATGGAAGGCTCCTGCGTGCCCCTCAGTTCCTGAACGTGTACTGGGTGGTAAGTGGTGCCGCGTCGCCTCCGTCAAGTGGGCCCGTGGAGATCGCCGAGTGCATCCAGTGTCCCGTGCAACTGCCTGGGCGCTAAACCATCTGGCCAGGACGTTGTCCTCTCGCAACGAACTCCCGGGCTGCGGGCTGCGTGTGGCCGCCGCGCGGCGCAGGGGCGGGGGTCGGTCATCGGCACGGCAGGGGTTTGGGTGCTGGGGCCAGCGCATGCGCTTCCTGGCGCGGGCGGGGCTGCAGCGGTTCTGCGCCGCTCGGCCGCGCGACGTGGTGGATGCGGCGGCGGAGGTGCTCGACCAGATGATCTACGGCGGCTGGCGGTCCCACGCGGCCTCGGTGCCGGCGATTGCGTGCTTCCGCCTTGCTGCTGGCCCTGGATGCTCTCAGCTGCCTCGCGTCTAGCTTCCAGGTGGCCCGCTTCGGCATCGCGAAACTGGGCCCTCCCCAGGCGCGGCTGCCGCTGCCGTGGGCTGCTGCGTGCCTGGTGGCGCGGCCAGCCGCGGTTGGCATCTGGCGCATGTGCGCCGCCGTGCCGGTCGCCTTCATGCGCCGCTTGCGGCCGCGCGGGCCCCTGGGGGCCCATGGGCGCGTCCTGGTTCCGCCTCTGCGGTGGGCGTCGTGCTGGTTTGAGGTGGGCCGTGATCCTGCGCCCTCAAAACTTGCGGAGCGCGTCCAATTTCTGCGCGCGACGAGACGGTGCTGGTGGACAACGTCGACCAGTTTCCCAGTTCCACTGGGGCGGAGGAGTCCCTGGTGTTCCCGTTCAGCTACCGTGAGTGGGCCGTGGCCATCGAGGCGGCCTGTCAGGCCGTCGGCCTGACATGCGAGATGACGCCTGTGCTATACATGCTGCGCCAAGGCGTCGCGCCCCACGACGCCGCGACAAGAGCTCGGGGCTTCAGGGACATCCAGGATCGAGGGAAGTGGATGACGGACAGGTCGGTGGTAAGCTACAAGAAAGGGGGGCGAGCCAACCATCTCCTCAACGGCCTCCCTGCCGCCATCAAGCGCGCGGCGGCGGTGGCCAGGCAAAACGTTTCCGTGTGGCTCCTGCGGAGTTGAACCTGCGCTGGCGTGCTGGTGAGTTCAGAGGTCGTGGGTTCGCGGTCGCACCTTTCTCAGGCTCTGGTCGGATGAGTGCTGCATGGCGTCAGGCCTTGAGGTTTGCAAATGGCTCCCATTTTCGAACGCGATAGCAAGTGTGGTGGTCAGCGCGACCTCTCGGGTTGCACGTTTCAGAAGTTTCTCAGGGACAGGGTCCCAGACGCATCCCTGCCAGCGGCCTGCGTAGGCTTGCCGTGCAACAGTTTCAGTGCTGCCGCCAATCGGCCCAATGGGCTTTCCACGTTTCGAAACGGTTCTGGCCTGTTTGGTCTGCCCGACTTGAAACCCTGGGACGCCAAAGCCGTTCGGACGGGAAACGCTCACGCTAGTTCATGTGGCAGGTTTCTGAGACTCGCCCGAGCTTCGGCCACGCCTTTGGTAATCGAGAACCCTGGTCATAGTTGTGTCTGGAGTGATCCCGCTCTCCTCCTTCCCTCTCCTCCCTCGTCGGCGTCGTCGTCCTCTGCTGCTGCTCCTCCTTCTCCTCCTCTTCCTCGTCCTCCTCCTCCTCCTCCTCCTTCTCCTCCTCCTCCTCCTCCTCCTCCTCCTCCTCCTCCTCCTCCCCTTCCGGATGTCTATACTTTCTTCATGGACGGTCGGCCCTGGAGAAAACGCGCGTGCTTTCGTGCTGTGAATTTTGGCTTCGGCCCGCCGTAAAACATTGCGGGGACTGCGTTGTGTTTTTTCGTGCCCGCACCCCGCACATACGATTCGAGGTTAAGAGTCCCCAGGGCGTCTGCGACATTTAGCTGGCAGAAGCATGTCCCAGGAATCTGCGCCGCCGCGTCGTACATTGCCTCTCAGAGGCACTGCTGGCCCAGTACTCTTGCAAGTTGTTGGTGTATCTGCAGTAGTGTGTGTATATATATATATATGTGTGTGTGTGCTTGAATCTAAGAGTACTGCGCGGCCAAGTATTGGCCAATCTACGAATGGTGCAATTTTTCCTGGTTGTGGATCCTTGTGTTGGTGCTGGTGAAATTCATACCCGTGTTTAACTCCTGGAGCCTGCGGCAGGCGAATAACGATTGTAGCACGCGTTCACCTTTCACACATAATATCCGTTGCCCACGTGCGCACGCACGGGAAATAACATCTTTCTCCTACCCCTTTTTCTTCTCCTCATTCCACTCATCCTCCCCCTGGTTTTCTTCCTCCTTTCTGCTCCCCCTGCTCCCAATCCACCTCATCCTTCTCCTCATCCTAGGCCCCTCCTTACCCCACTCCTCGTTCTCCTCTTCCTCCGCCTCCCTCCTCCTTTCTATTTGGGATACGGAGGCTGTCCTCCTTGGTCTGGGAGGCTGCCTGGCTCATCGGGCTCTGCCGCACTCTGTCTCGGACCTGCCGCCGAGGAGCGCCGTCGAGCAGTCCGCGAAGCGCGCGAAGGACAGACTGGCTAAGCAGGACCTGCCAAGAACGCGCCCCCTTCCCTCGTCAAGGCGGGGGAGAGAAGGAACATGAGGACGAGGAGGAGGAGGAGGAGGAGGAAGAGGAGGAGGAGGAGGGGGCGGAAGAGCCGGATGAGCAGGAGGATCGCCCAAGGATTGCCCTAAACCGGCCCAGTCGGGGCAGCGCTTACGCCATAGGGATACCACTTGAGTGGCGAGCCGTCAGGTAGGCGTCCAGTGGTCCGCGCGCCAGGAGGAGGAGGAGGAGCAGAAAGGGGTTGAGACGGGGAGGGGGTTGGCGTTCGGGCCACTTGTCGCCAAGTCGTAGCGGTCTCGAGGCGGGCGGTGTCTTATGCAGTTGCGAAGGACCCATGCGGCGAGCGCAGTTGGCGTTGGAGGGGGCTGCGCGCTGCCCAGAGGGTCGACTTGCTCATGTTACGCGCTGGAAAATTGCAGTCGCCACGTCGTCGTCAGCTTGTGGCCTCATGTTACGCGCTGGGAAATTGCAGTCGCCACGTCGTCGTCAGTTTGTGGCCTTCGGCTCGCTGTCGCGGAGCGGCCCTGGTCAATCTGATGCAAGCTCGCCGCGCGGTGCTAAGGCGATGACCACATTTTCAAACCACGCCCTCCATCCGTGAAGCTGTTGCAAATTGCAAGCTTCCGGGTCATTAGTGGTGATGAAATCTTCAGCGAAACGCCCAGCCCGCCCTACCGACATGTCAGGGGGTGCGACAGGGAAGATACTCGTAAGGAAGCTGGATGGGGGAGGAGAAGGAAGAGGAGGAGGAGGAGGAGGAAGAGGAGGAGGAGGAGGAGTAGGAGGAGGAGGAGGAAGAAGACGAAAAAGAGGAGTAGGAGAAGGAGGAGGAGGAGGAGGAAGAGGAGGAGGAGGAGGAGGAGAAGGAAGAGGAGGAGGAGGACTTGGCTTGAAGTAGCATGGCTTTGGGATGCCCTAGCCCCGTCAGTGGGCGCAGTTCCCTGGTGTCACCGCTCTGGAGGGCACGGTGGCCCGACGGGACAAGATTCTCTGGTGTGCGGCGCGCCCTGGGTTAATGAATCCTCTGGTGTGCGGCGCGCCCTGGGTTACCACCAGGTCCTCTGGTGTGCCTGCTCTGCGGTGCCTCGTGGCAGATCTGTAGATCGTGCTACCACGAACCGTCACCAGATGGCACACACTCGAGGCGGGGAGCGCACAGACGACGCCCATCGGAACCCTCGGGGTCGTGTGGGGGGGTGGGATTTGTCCCGTCCAGTTGTGCCTCGTGCGGTCCGCACCATAAGCCCCAGGGGACCGACCAGGACGGATCGGGCAGGCCGAAACTCAACTGCACGATTTCCGTCAGGCACCGTGAGGCACCGCGGTGTCCGGGCAATAATTGTCACGGGTTGCTTTCCTGCTCGGTTTTGCCTTTTGGTGTCAAGTTGTCTCCGTCTGTTCCTTCGCACCATCGGCGGGAAGGGTGCCTGCCCCTGACTCGGAATGTGCAAAGATCCGAGTTTTCCTATCGTCAATGCATGCGCGGGCCCTGGCGATTTGCCCCGACCGTTTCGCGGGCGTGCGCCGCGGAATTTACGTTCCCGCGCGGCTCGCTGGGAAACGGCCAGAAGCTCTGCGCGTGAATGGGGGCAATGCGGGAGGGGGGGGGGTGCGGGGCAATGCGCGCGGCAAGTGGCGAACGGGATGGCAGAGGCAAGTGGCAAGGCAGAGGTGGGCGACAGATGGGGCGACATATACTTTTTGCTAAGAGGGAAAGGGAGGGAGAGAGAGAGAGAGAGAGAGAGAAAGAGAGAGAGAGAGAGAGAGAAAGAGAAAGAGAAAGAGAGAGATACTTATATATATATATATAGAGAGAGAGAGAGAGAGACCCAGGACTCAGAACAAGGCTGAAACGGGGAGATACTCTCCCAGGCATATCGCATGGTCAACCTTTGAGTTCGGGCGTCCCCCGCGAGCGAATCTGTCCCAAGAGTGCCGCACTGCATTGGATGCGATCGATCTCAGGCGCACTCTGCCGAGCCTCCTGAGCGCCCCCGCTTCCGAATAAGCTTCACAGCTGCTGCGTACGATGATGACTCCTGAAGCGCAATTGGAGGTGCGCAGCGTGTGGTTCCGGGGACCTCAAAACCAGGTTGGCGAAGGGAGCGCTGTGCCCCCTGCACGGTGGGCGCCGTCGGCGAAGGCTCCCGTGTGCCTCTGGCGAACCGAAGGCGTCGCTGACATGCCCTGTGGGTGCGCTTCCGTGCCCGCGCATGGCTCCCCGCAGGGGCTGCGGCGTCGTCTGCTGCCACATGCGAGCGCAGCCACTGGGGCCTTCGGTGGAGCTCCCTATGGGGCCACGAAGCGTGTGAGGGGTGTGCCAGAATGGGGGGTGGAACCGCATGCGGGCGCAGCCACTGGGGCCTTCGGTGGAGCTCCCTATGGGGCCACGAAACGTGTGAGGGGTGTGCCAGAATGGGGGGTGGAACCGCATGCGGGCGCAGCCACTGGGGCCTTCGGTGGAGCTCCCTATGGGGCCACGAAACGTGTGAGGGGTGTGCCAGAATGGGGGGTGGAACCGCATGCGGGCGCAGCCACTGGGGCCTTCGGTGGAGCTCCCTATGGGGCCACGAAACGTGTGAGGGGTGTGCCAGAATGGGGGGTGGAACCGCATGCGGGCGCAGCCACTGGGGCCTTCGGTGGAGCTCCCTATGGGGCCACGAAACGTGTGAGGGGTGTGCCAAATGGGGGGTGGAACCGCATGCGGGCGCAGCCACTGGGGCCTTCGGTGGAGCTCCCTATGGGGCCACGAAACGTGTGAGGGGTGTGCCAGAATGGGGGTGGAACCGCATGCGGGCGCAGCCACTGGGGCCTTCGGTGGAGCTCCCTATGGGGCCACGAAACGTGTGAGGGGTGTGCCAGAATGGGGGGTGGAACCGCATGCGGGCGCAGCCACTGGGGCCTTCGGTGGAGCTCCCTATGGGGCCACGAAACGTGTGAGGGGTGTGCCAGAATGGGGGTGGAACCGCATGCGGGCGCAGCCACTGGGGCCTTCGGTGGAGCTCCCTATGGGGCCACGAAACGTGTGAGGGGTGTGCCAGAATGGGGGGTGGAACCGCATGCGGGCGCAGCCACTGGGGCCTTCGGTGGAGCTCCCTATGGGGCCACGAAACGTGTGAGGGTTGTGCCAGAATGGGTGTGGAACCGCATGCGGGCGCAGGATGGGGAAGCGTGTGAGGGGTGTGCCAAATGGGTGTGGGAGGGGGAGGAGGGGGGAGGAGGGAGGAGGAGGAAGGAGGAGAGGAAGGAACGCGGGGCGACGTCTCTTCAAAACGAGGACCCAACACCACAGGATGGTTGGGAAACATATACCCTGGCGACTTACCCAACCCCACACGTTATAAGGGGGGCGATGACGGAGCGAGGGTTACATATGTCTGCAGACGGAATTCGGGAGACTCGCAGGAAACTGGCTTCATGAAAAGGACTAGATAAAGCTGATTAGTTGCAATCCCTGAGCAACCCTAGCCATTTCGAAAGCGGGGATCTCAGATCGCAGCCCCCCAGGGATGGCGAGGTCTAATTTGGGTCCGCGCGTGGCGTCACTGTGCTGGGCCCCCCAGCAGGCCTCGAAAGTGGCGGCACTTTCACAGATCGCAGCCCCCCAGGGATGGCGAGGTCTAATTTGGGTCCGCGCGTGGCCCTCAGTGTGAAGGGCCCCCCAGCAGGCCTCGAAAGTGGCGACAGTTTCACAGATCGCAGCCCCCCAGGGATGGCGAGGTCTAATTTGGGTCCGCCCGTGGCGTCACTGTGCTGGGCTCCCCAGCAGGCCTCGAAAGTGGCGACAGTTTCACAGATCGCAGCCCCCCAAGGGATGGCGAGGTCTAATTTGAATCCGCGCGTGGCCCTCACTGTGCTGTGCCCCCCAGCAGGCTTCGAAAGTGGCGACAGTTTCACAGATCGCAGCCCCCCAAAGGATGGCGAGGTCTAATTTGAATCTGCGCGTCGCCCTCACTGTGCTGGCCCCCCCAGCCGGTCTCGAAACTGGCGACAGTTTCACAGATCGCAGCCCCCCAGGGATGGCGAGGTCTAATTTGGGTCTGCCCGTCGCCCTCACTGTGCAGGGCCCCCCAGCAGGCCTCGAAAGTGGCGACAGTTTCACAGATCGCAGCCCCCCAGGGATGGCGAGGTCTAATTTGGGTCCGCGCGTCGCCCTCACTGTGCAGGGCCCCCCAGCAGGCCTCGAAAGTGGCGACAGTTTCACAGATCGCAGCCCCCCCAGAGATGGCGAGGTCTAATTTGAATCCGCGCGTGGCCCTCACTGCGCTGGGCCCCCCAGCAGGCCTCGAACATGGCGACAGTTTCACAGATCGCAGCCCCCCAGGGAGGGCGAGGTCTAATTCTTTACGCTTCGCGTATCCCCACCAGCCCATCTCACAGCAGCAACTCTCGCGAAGCAAGCCGACAGTCGTGTTTTTTCAGGCGTGTGTCCGCTTGGCCCCGCATATCTCCCCTGTTCCTCCTTCCTCCCGCCTCCTTGTACATCCTCCTTGTGGGGGGAGCGGGAGAAGGACGAGGCGGAGGAGGAGGGAGAGAAAACGCTCCTCGTGATTTGAGTCGTTTGGGGTTTCTCGTCCTGGTGTGAGTCGTTCGGGCCTTCTTCCTGGTGTGTTGTCGGTCGGGGTCGGGCTCTTCGTGGGTGAGTTGCTTCGGGCTCTTCGTTCCTGGTGTGCGGCGCTCGGCTTTCGTGTGGGAGTTGTTCGGGGCCCCTCATCCTGGTGTGAGTCGTTCGGGCCCATCCTCCTGGTGTGATCGTTCGGGCTCCTCATGGTGTGAGTCGTTCGGGGCCCGCGTCGTGGTGTGAGTCCTTCGGGCTCCTCGTCCTGGTGTGAGTCGTTCGGGCCCCTCCTTGTGGTGTGAGTCGTTCGGCCTCTTCGTGGTGTGAGTCATTCGGGCCCCTCGTCCTGATGTGAGTCGTTCGGGCTCCTCGTCCTGATGTGAAAAGTTTCGTTGGGCTCCTCGTGGGCCTCCTGGG